GAGGTTCACCTCTTTCCACAAATGAGACAAAAGCTTTTCACCTGGGCGAAATGAGCATCAGGAGTTTTGCTGGGCTTCAGTCTAGCATTTGAGTTTAGGCTGGGTATTTTAACCAAAGAAAACTCTTCCTGAAGCTACTGACTGCTGGACTCAGATATTTATTACCAAAGTTCAGATAAAATAATATCCCTAATAAGAAACAGGTAGAACTGTGATGTGCTCATAAATTCATCCACCTCCTCAGCCTACCCTCACAGGAAGGTGCCCTGGGTCACGTTGGCCCCCTGCATTTTATCCTGTCAGCTTGACAACATGGTCCTCTAAATAGAGTCCATTGGTTGGACATAGATAGAAGTCATGATGGGACTATCAAATCAACTGCTACTGTAGGGGAGCCAGAGATCCACCCTTAAGCTCTCTTTGGCTGGATCTAGAATCCAAATTGACACCAGGCAGATTAACAAGAGAAAAGCATGCACATTTTGTTAGTGTGACATATACATGGGGATCTTCATAAGAGATTGAAATCTAAAGAAGTGGCCAAAACAAGATGGTTTTATATTTTTTAGACAAAGAACAATAAATGTGAGAAGAAATGACAGGACAAAGAAAATCTGGCCAGGGACAATAAATTTTCTAGAGGAGTCATGAGCAGATATATGGTTGCGTATAAAACAAGAGGAAAAAAAGGGTTCCTTCATTAAATATATTTATTCAGATCCATTGCAGCCTCCAGTTCCAAGCCTCTGGTGATAAAGGCTATTTTCTCCCCGGGCGTGGAGAGGGCACCCCTTTCAGAGGGATATTTATGGCTTGCTGCATACACGAAGATACAGGTCACCTCGCCCTTTCTGAAACTACAATTTCTTTAAGGTTTCAACTCAAAATAATCAATATATCAATCTAGCATATTTTGGGATGGCATGGCCTTCATTCTTTCACTAGCTTGAGGATTGTGGCTAGTAGAAGTAAAGCCACTTACAGGGTACATGTGCAGTTTTGTTACATGCACAGACTGTATAGTGGCTAGGTCAGGGCTTTTAGGATATCCATCACCTGAATAACATATATTATACTTCTTAACTAATTTTATTCACAGCCAACTGATCTTTGACAAAGCCAACAAGAGCATACACTGGGAAAAGGACATTCTCTTCAATAAATGGTCCTGGGAAAATTGGATAGCCATATGCAGAAGAATGAAACTGGACCCCTATCTCTCACCATATACAAAAAATGAAGATGGATTAAAGACTTAAGCATTAGACCTGAAATACTAAAAGAAAACCTAGTGAAAACTCTTCTGGACATTGGTCTAGGCAAAAAATTTATGATTAAGACCTCAAAGCACAGGCAACAAAAACAAAAATAGACAAATGGGACTTAATTAAACTAAAAAGCTTCTGCACGGCAAAAGAAATAATCAGTATAGTAAATAGATAAGTTGTACAATGGGAAAAAATGTTTGCAAACTATTCATCTGACAGGGAACACACAGAATATACAACGAACTCAAAAAACTCAACAGGGACAGCAAAACCTAGAAATAATTCCATTAAAAAATGGACAAAGTGCATGAATAGACATATTTTTTTATGAAAGAAGATATACAATGGCCAAAAAGTCTATGAAAAAATACTCAACACCATTAATGCAAATTAAAAGCACAATGAGATATCACCTTATCCCATTTGGAATAGCTATAATAAAAAAAGACAAAAAAATAAAAAGATATTGGTGAGGATGGGGAGAAAAGGGAACTCTTATACACTGTTGGTGGAAATGTGAATTAGTACAGCATCTATGAAAAACAGTATGAAGATTTCTCAAAGAAACTAAAAATAGAGCTACAATTCTATCCTGTAATCCTACTACTGAGTATCTTCCCAAAGGAAAAGAAATATTTCAAAAAAACACCCACACTTGTATATTTATTGCAGCACTAATCACAACAGCAAAGATAACAGATCAACCTAAGTGTCCATCAGTGGAAGAACAGATAAAGAAAATGTGGTATATATACACAATAGAATACTGTTCAGCCATAAAAAGAATGAAATTATGTCTTTTGCAGCAACATGGATGGCAATGGAGGTCATTGTCTTAAGTGAAACAAGCCAGGCACAGAATATTGCATGTTCTCATTTAAAAGTGGGTGCTAAAAAATGGGTACACATGGATGCAGAGAGTGGAATGGCAGACAATGGAGACTCAAAAGAGAGAAGTGAGAGGGGTGGATAATGAATGAGAAATTAGCTAGTAAGTACTATGTGTGCTCTTCCGGTGATGGATACCCTAAAAGCACTGACTTAACCACTACACAATCTATGCATGTAACAAAATTCCACATGTACTCTGTAAATTTGTACAAGTAAAAATAAAAATGAAATACGGCTAACGAATAAAAGAGAATCACAGAAAGAAAGCCAGCATAATAGACTTAGAAATTGTGTATGGTTATAATGTATGAAATATATGCTGTGATTAAAACATGTACATGGAAAATAGCTTGAGGATATTGGAAGATCCAATTGGAATTGCTTAATAATTTGAAGGAAGGAGAATTTTGGTGACATATGCAACTTTTACTCTGATATGACTCATTACCCTTCTCACTTGATGGTGGCTATTATGAGGCTCAAATGAGATAATGTACAATTTTGAAAGAAATTTTAAACTATAAAGCTCTTGGAAAATATTAACAATGGTAGTGTGTTATATTATTAGTATTAATCCAATGAAAAACACATATGGAAACTATCAAATTGTTTTCAAGTATATCACAAATTTATGGGTGATAGAAGATATTAGGTTTAATTGTTGCCATTTTACTCCAAGGTACAGAAGGAAAATACTGGGAAATTTATGACAAAAGTTGGACTGGAATCCATGTCAATTGTCTTCTGAGATAGTATAGTTTCTATTATATAATATTATTTCTATGCAGAGAAATTATATCAGAATACCAGAGCAGGCCAACAAGAAAAACTTAGCTTTTTTCAAAGCATCTGGTTCTATAGAACAGAAGATATACCAGCAGAAGAAAAAAGAAGACAGCATTCATAGTCAAGAGACTCAGGTTCTTGTTCTCATTCCACCACTGGGGCAAACACTATTTTTTGGCTAACGAGAAATGGCCAATGCTATTTTCTTCTATTTCCTCACTGTAGAAGCTAGAAAATCTAATGCTTATTTTCCCGACAAACTAATCACTAGGTGTTCATGGGATACAGTTCAGATCAATAAAACAAATGCTATTTTAGAGGCTTCTGGAAAGGATTTACCTTTACTAACAAAAGAAATAGTTAAAACTCATGCTACCGTTTCCTCTTCTTCCTACCTTCATTCCAGATATAATAATGCCGGGAGCTACAGAAGCCCTATTATGACTATGAGGCCTCAAGTATAAAAATATTCAATAGAATAACATGGATATTAGTCTTGATAACATCTAAGTGCTGGATCATTACCAATATCTTTCTTCTTCCAGTTTTTTTATGTTTTGGAAAAAATTAAACCTTATTTATTTTAAGCTGTGGTTTGTGTTTGTTTGTTTTTATATGGATAAATGCACTTCTAACTTTTCTAGCACCTTATTAACTTGCTCATGTTATTAACCTCCTTATGCTGGTGAAACAGACAAGTGATTGTCTAACACATAGGGTTGCCAAAAGCATGAACTGAGAAAGCAAATAGATGGGAATAACAGTTTGAAACACAGAAGACATTGAATGCACCCCACCATCCTCCTCCTCTTCCACTGACTCTTCCCTCACCTTGATCAACACCACAACCCTCGATTCCACCTCCCCCTCCCTCCTCGTCCTCCTCTTGTGAAACTTTTCTATCATTCTCAACATGAAATTTAGTACCATTTTATACCCTGGATGGATCCCAATATAAGGTTTGTATTAGGAACCATGCTGAGCATCATTAACAACAGGGAAACTGGCTTTCTAAGTCTAGAGGCAAAATAATAAATTAAATGGCATTTGTCCTCAGAACACAACCATAAAATTTTCTAGAAGTCATTTATTAGTTTGCTAGGGCAGCTGTAACAAAGTACCATAAACTGGGTAGCTTAAAACAACAGAAGTTTGTTGTCTTACAGTTCTGGAGATCAGAAGTTTGAAATCAAGGGACTAGCAGAGCCATGTCCCTCTGAAAACAGCAGGGAGGGAACTGTTCCGTGTCTCTCTCTTAGCTTCTTAGCTGCAGGTGTGTTTCGCTTATGGATTCGTCACTTAAATCTTCCACATTCACATGCCTTTCCCCCTTTATGTCTTCATGTCCTCTTCCTTCTGTTTACATGTGTCCAAATTTTCCCTTTTTATAAAAACACCAGTTATATTGGATTAGGGTCCACCCTAACGACTTCATCTTAACTTTGTTAAATTTGCAAAGACTCTATTCCCAAATAAGGCCTCATTCTGAAGTATTGGGGGTTAGGACTTTAACATTTCTTCTTCTGGGGTACATAATTAAAACAAAAAGACCCCCTTATAAATTATTCTATAACTCTTGCGTAGTTACTTCTGTATTATACCTCAATCAAGAAGAACCTTGATTTTGGCTAGATGTAAAAGTTTTGTCTTATCCCTGTCTTTCCTGTGTTTTTTAGGTTTAAGTTAAACAAGATTATAATTTTCTTTTCCCCAAGAGTATTTATCTTTGAGTAGGAGATTATTTAATCCAGAAAACTTCAGGAACTCTGACAGATGGTGAATAAAATATGAGACATAAGGCAACCACATACTCTGTAATTCCCAAGAGCCTGACCTGGACCAGAGGAATCATTACTAAAGTGAAAATCGTGCTTATCTGTGTGATGCTCATAGTGATGAATTCCCAGCATAATCCATTCCTCTGTCTCTTTTGCAGGATTCACTTCTCTGGCTAGGCCAGGTCCAGAGATTAGTTGTCAACCCAGAATGGAGAGATTTTAAATGATGTTGATGGCCTTGCCTCTTTCCAATGTCATCTATTTTTATTATTTATAGGTGTACAAATGTCCCTGGCTTTTTGCTGCAAAGAAAAGCAAGTGTGAATTTAAGAACAAGATTCATTGCCTGAGATTTCCCCAGGCAACACATAAAGGGAGCTTGATTGCCAGCGTTAGATATTCAGCCATGTTCAGCACTGGACAGCAACCAGCAAGCCGGAGTGCCCAGTATGGGGAAGCCAAGTAATCTAGAGAAAAGCTCTCACTTTGATAGCAGGGAGGTGGACAAAAATAAACATGGCTGGAGAAAGGCAGGAATCAAGACAAAAACTGGGAAGTATTTTTCGATTGGAAATTCTATTTTTTTCCTTAATATCCAAACAGAGTTTTCATGTCTAATTAAGAAACCATTATTTTCAGACCTGTTATGCCCTCCTAATAAGAGCAATCCTTGTCTGTTCCCCTCATGGCAGCCTTATTCTCCTTGTCTGACATGCATTTCCCCATGATTAGTACAGATTCCATACCCTCTATTTTTCCTCCAACTCCTTCTTTGGCACGGCCTCCCCGCCTTCCTCTCCCTCACTATGGTTTGATCACTTATCTCAGGAAGGAAATCTCACCATGCTGGAGAGCTCCCACTCACCTAAGGAAAATAACCCGGTGAGGGCAACTGGGATGCTGTATATTGTCCTTGTCTCCTGGGCTCTCTGCTAGCCACTGACTAAGCTGTAATTTAGTGTTGAGATTGCTTTCGCTCTGGGCTTCTCTCACTAAGTGTGTTTAATCTGCTGTAAAATTGTTTTCATGGTTGCAGTCAGTGTTATAGTAACTGTTTAACAATGTGCATTTCTTTGCTTTGAAAAGGGTCTTGGCCGTCTCTATGCAAATTAGCACTTGTCTAATGCCATTAAGCATGGTTCCTGGAAAAGCAACAACTGGAATGTTGGATAAACTTGTGCACTAGGTCTGGAGGAGGAAACTGGGATAAGGAAACAGAAACTCCATCTTGGATGCACAGCACAGATCTTGCCTGGAGACACGTGATCTTCACCTTAACCTGTGGCCTTGTGTTTGGGATGGGAGTAAGTAGATTTCATTACATCAGCTGAATTCATGTGATCTTATCATCTGGGACCAAATGTCAAATCCTGAACTTCAGAATAATGAATTTAGATTGGCTTGAGAAACTGTGCTTTGATTTAGGTTAGTCATGGAAGTCATATTTCAGGTGGATGGTATAGGGTTGCCCCCAAAATTTAACCTGTGATGTTGTTAAAAGGGAGGGAGGTGACATGCTGTCCAGTAAGTGTGCTAAATACTATATATATATATTTCATCTCTCTTCTTAATCCTGGCAACAATTCTGGAAGTTAGATGTCAAGGTTGGGCTTTCTTGGAAGCAAGTCTGAGATGGAGTTTGGATAGCAGAATGCTTATTAAAAAGTATCTTTGGAATCAAGACCTGTAGAAAGATGGGAAAGAAAGGAAAGCGGACAGAGGAGTATTTGAGCTGTGATGCAGACCCAACAAGACCCTCACCTGGTTCCAAGTGGATCCCCGGAGAAATGATGTTCCTCCAGAATTGTCTCCTGTTGGGCTAATTGGTCAGTCCTTTAAATTCCCACTTTCATCAGTCACCAGATGTAGGCCAACTCGAAGGGAAGTGACCCTGGAAGAACCACCTCTCTGCAGCTGAGACCGTTAAAGGATTCCTCGCTAAAGGCTATTGCCAAAACTACTTCCAGTAGATGAAGCACCAGTCCTTCACTGAGGGAGATCTGGGTCATGCATCACACTATCTAGCATGTGAGGTGTGTTTATTATCACCTTAGCAATAAAGAAAGAGAAATTAAGAGAGGTTCAGTGTTTAATCAAGGTCACATAATAATAATAATAATAGGAATTATTTGTCAGGATCCCTTCTAAGCATGCCACATGCATGTGTTCTTGTTTAAGCTTCAGAACAACCCTATTTGATAAATATTATTATAGTATTCGTTTTAACAAATGAAGAAACTGAGGCACAGAAAATGTAAGTAGCTTGTCGAAGGTATCAGGGCTAAATGTGGTAGATCTGGGATTCAGACTCGCAAGTGTAATTGCAGAGACCACGCTCAACCACTACCTCACGTTGCTGCCGCCTGAATTTGAACTGAGAACTTTCTGGCGGTGAAGCCCATGCTCTTCCCTTTATCCTAACCTGGATTCCTCAAAGCTGTGACTGTGCGAAGGTGTTGGGGCTAGAGAAGGAACGAGCTAAGACTTTTGCTCAAAGCTGAAACCAGCGCAGAGCACTTCTGAAGTCCCGTCTCCCTGGCGTCACACCCACAAACCACAGCGGTCACGCGACCGCCTTGGGCCAGCGGCTCCAGCTCTCAGCCACTGCAGCTGGGCTCCAGCCCCCCAGGACGCTGGGGGGCGACAAGCCTGGGGAAGGTATTTGTATGCTCCCACCTCCTGCCCTGGAGGGCGGAACAGCGAGGAGACTCCCGGCTTTTTACACTAATGTGGGTCTGTGCGGGCCCGGCTCTTTCTTAACCCAACACCAGTCTGACAACTCCTTCTGCTTCTTTGAATAGGATCCTGTCAGCTCTCCCATCTTCTCTGGGAAATTTTACATTTCTTGGTCTTTCAGAACCTTTATGTAGATCTCTGTCTCCCTCCATGAACCAGTATCTTGTCCCAGAAATTACAGCTTCTAAGTTCTCTCTGTCCTGCCCAAAGAAAGCCTTTGCTCTCACCACTCAGACTTCCTGTCTTTCTTGGAATATGTAGAAGCCCTTTGATCAATTTCTAAAGCTGCCATGTTTCTTTCTGCTTTGCTTTATTTAACACGCACATATATCTTATGTGAGCCTCAGGAGCTCACAGACTACCGTGGGAAGCAGACACAAGCAGATAAACACATGTGGAATGTCCTAAATAGACCAGAGCTGAGACTTAGATAAGTCCGGATAATGAAGGTCAGGAATGCCCTGGGTAATTATGCCCGCCCACTGATGTACAAGGACATGAGCTGGTTCTTGGGAAAATTAGTTCTTTATCCATATCACAAGAGAAACTCAGACAAATGGAAGCTGAACTCTATGACATTTCTTCTCAAAAGTATCCCTATCCTATAACCCTCCCTTCCAAATTAGCATCACACAGAAGGTAGAAGGATTCTCTGATTTGTTCTGCAAGAGCCTCACTGGCCCCGAGACCTGGAAGGCGCCTGCCCTTGGTAATGGCGCGGGCGAGGTGAGGCCGCAGAGAGGTCGGCCACAGACACAGCGTGTTTCCACCCACGGAGCAGCAAGGGAGCCAGCAGTGGAGAGGGCGGTGCATGCCTTTATCAGAAATGCTTTCAGCAGCAAATGGTAGAGCATCCAGCCAATTGCAGATGAAACAAACATGGAATTGTTTTTCTTATAAAGTTAGAAACCTGGGGAGTTGGCACCTAGCACTGGTTTAGTAAATCCATGCTGTCAGGGCTAGATTGTTGCGATTCTCTCAACCTCTTCCTCTTGACTTTCGGTTTACTGCTGTGGTTTGGGTAATAAAATAAACACCAAGGCTGAAAGAAGTAAGCGTGGCTGTGTGTGGAGGGAGAGAGGGGGAGCAGCTGCACATTATGCCCCTTTCTCTCAAGAAAGCCGTTTCCCCCTGGAGACAGGCCTTTACGTTTCACTGGGCGGAACTGGGTCCTATGGCTGCCCCTGGCTACAGAGAAGCTTGGGAAAGTCGGTTTCTGGCTTTCCAGTCTCTATAGTATGAAGTTACAGGAACACTGGGGCAGCAAACAGGCAGTGGTTAGTCAACTGAGACAGCTGTGTGCCCCTAGACATCAAAAAAGTGTGTCAAGAAGTAAAATGTTGCAAGGGCCGCACCCCTGCTGTAGAAGACTGGGAAGGCAGGGCTGCCCCTGCTGATGCAGATGTATGTGTGACCCGCCAGCCCATGCTTACGGAAGGAAAGCCTTCCCTGCCTGCCTTTTCCCGCTCCTCTCCGGTCCCCATGTCACGGCCTCCAGATCTGTCACCTGGATGATGTGGCCTTGCCATACCCAGTCTTCCTCTTCTCCAATACGCCTCCCACACTTCTTTCAAATGGATCCAACTCAAATTTTGCTGCTCTACCCCACTGCTCATACCCTTAGGTCACTATGCCCAGAGGATCAAGTCTAAGTTCATTCAAACAACTCAGAGAAATGCAAGCCTTACTATAAAGCTACAGTAATAAAAACAAAATAGTGTTGGCAAAAGAATAGACACATAGGACAGTGGAACAGAACAGACAGCCCAGAAATAGGCCCAGACGAACAGCGTTAGCTGAGTTTTGACAAAGGCACAGAGGCAACTCAATGGAGAAAGGAGAGACTTTTCAACAAGCGATGCTTAAAAAATTGGATATATATGAACCCACTGAACTGTACACTTTGAAAGGATTAAAAAGTTAAATTTCATGGTTTTGGGGTTTTACCAGAATAAATATTTAAAATTTTTTAAATACACGAACCTAGACACAGACCTTATATTTTACACAAAAATGCACTCAAAATGGATCATGGAAAGCAATGTAAAATGCAAAATTGTAAAACTTTTAGAAGAAGATAGAGGTGAAAATCTATGTAACCTTGAATTTGGTGATGAAGGTTTAGAGACAACACCACAAGTATGGTAGTTAGAAATAATTGGTAGTTAGACTTTATTAAAATTAAAAACATATTCCCTGTGAGAGAATCTCTCTAGTAAGAGAATGAAAAGACAAGCCACAAACTGGGAGAAGATATTAGTAGAACCTGTATCTACTAAAGAACTTGTACCCAAAATATATGAATAAGCCTTCAAACTAAATTTACAAGGAAACAAAAAACCCAAACCAAAAATGGGCTAAAGATCCAAACAGGCACCTCATCAAAGAAGACATGCATGCCGCAAAAAGCATATAAAGTATGCTCAGCATTATTTATCACTGGGGAATTGCAAATTAAACAACAATGTGATGGCTCTACAACCTAACTGAATGGCACAAGGGAGAAAAACTGAAAATACAAATTGCTGACATGGATGTAGAGTGACAGGAACTGTCACTCATTGCTGGTGAGAATGAAAAATGTTACAGTCACTTTAGAAGACAATTTGACATTCTTTTACAAAGCTAAATATAGTCTTACCATGAGATCTAACAATCACATCGTTAGGTATTTAGCCAACCAATTTGAAAACATGCCCACAAAAAACCTGCAAATGAATGTTTTTAGTAAATGTATTAATAATAAAAGCAAGCACAAATCCCTCGATAGGTGACTGGTGAGAGTCTGGGACACATCCCTACAGTGGACGGCACTCAGTGATAAACAGAAATGAGCTAGCAAGACGTGCTGCTGAGTGAAGGAAGCCTGTCTGGAAAGGCTACACTCTGTGTGGTGCTAACTGCGTGGCATTCTGGAAAAGACCAAACTGGAGAGTTCAGTCAGCAAACACGTCAGTGCTGTCAGGGGTTCAGGGAGGGGGAGGGCTGGATACACGAAGCACTGGAGATCTTATGGGGCAGTAGAACTATTCCGATACTGAAATGGTGGGTAAATAACCCGTTGAACTTTGTCGCACTTTAATGTGTGTGAACTAAAAAGATCATTTAAGAGGCTGAGACATCACGAGATTTGTAGACTGTTGCAAAATAATGTAGCTATAATACAAATGACTGAAATAACCTTAAAGGAGGTTAGGAGGTGCCAATCTAAGTGACTTTGGAAATGGATGGGATCTAAAGGACTAAAGAAAAAACGAATCATACGTAAGTATTGCACCACAGGTAATAAAATTGCTTCCCATGGGTGTGTGTGTAAATGTAATACTGAAACCACCATATATATGTCTTAACACACACTGGAGTTGAACAGTTAAGTAAGGTGTGGTGGATGGTGGGTGGTGGGAACTGGGTTTGTCACAAATGGAGAGAGAGCTTACAGAACCCATGAGGAGAAGGCTGGATGTTTGGTACCACGTCACAGCTGTTATCACTAACAACTCATATACAGCTTGATACAGATGCAGAGGGATACCTGTGTGTGTGTGTGTGGTTGATGCACACACGTTTCCTTACTCTGACCACTGGGGGAGCCTAGAAGCAATGACACCTCAAAAGCAATGAAAACACCTTGCACCAAGATTTCAGCTTCTAATGCCATTCCCAAAAGGAGCTGAGTACCCTTATAGAAATGGCTGCTGCCCAGCAGACACACACACACACACACACACACACACACATAAACATGTACACACACACGATAGTGGTATGTGAAATGGACACAGGAGCCCCCAATGGCCAAAATAAAATAATTTGAATAATAAAATAAATTAAGCAATATTGGACTGTATCTACAGTGTAAAATAAGTATGTATGTGTCCATGATTAGCAGAGGTACTGGTGATATTTTGGGGCAGTAAAACTATTTTCCACAATAATGCAAGGGTAGAACCATAGCACTATGCATTTGTCATAACTCACAGAACTTTACAGCACTTTGGTGCATGTAAATTTTTAAATAAATAAGAGAGAAGAG